ATACATATCTATCTTATAACCCAAACTTTATATGGAGAGTTTTGCTCTTTACATTTTAACTGGGACCAGGTAAAAATGCATGAATTTTCTTTCCTTTTTCTTAAAAAATATTTTATTTATTTATTTATTTTTAGAGAGAGGGGAAAGGAGGGAGAAAGAGAAGGAGAGAAACATCTGACATGTGAGAGATACATCCATTGGTTGCCTCTTCAATGCCCCCAACTGGGGGCCTGGCCTGCAACCCAGGCATGTGCCCTGACCAGGAATAGAACCAGTGACCTTTCAGTACACAAGCCAGCACTCAATCCATTGAGCCACATCAACCAGGGCTGCATGATTTTTCATGTCAAAAAACAGGCACAAAAATTTGTTGATAGATTTGATTACATAATGACAAGATTTTTACAGCCCAAAACACAAACTAGGTTGGAAGATGGATGACAAATTAGGAGGAAGAAAATGTGAGGTTCTTCAATTTCTCCTTCTTTGCCTCAGAATTATCCTACATGTCTTTTTTTTTTTTTAACCTATTCTATTCTCCTTCCCTTCTCAGACAGTATTTGAAATTCCTCTAAGAAAACACACTTTCCCCTGGTTGCTCATGTACCTTGCTCTATTAAGTCTTTTCTATTCTTTATTGTGTTATTGATGATTTCTTCTTCCTCTTAGTCAACAAACATAACAAAATCTTGACATCCTTAAAAAAGCCAAGAAAACCTGGATAGACCCTTCTACCCATTTCCCAGGTTCTCCAATAGTTGTTCTCTTCTCTCCTACTCTTTGCTACCAAATTTCTCTTCCACATTTCACACCTCTGCCTCTGGGCTTATTAGCTTGTTCTGTGCATTCTGTTCTCTCCCATTGAAGCTGCTGTTGGAATTACAAATGTCCCCCTGATTACCTCTCCCTGGAAGGCTTTCTGCTGAGGCTCTATAAATAATGGACACAGGCTAACATTGTGCCTTAAAACTCTTTTGAGTGTTTTTGTGGCCTCTTTTCTCTGCCCGCTCCCTCCAGGCAATGCAGCCCAGTCTCAAGGTTTCACCTTTTATCAGATGATTTCCAAACTTGGGTTTCCTGCCCTAGTTGGCTTCTGAGCTCTAAGTCTACATTTTCAACTGTTTGCTGGCTTAACTAGAAGCTATAATGCTGACATCTTAGATTTGGTGTGTCTTCAAGAGAACATTTCCTTTCTTCACATGGGTCCTCTTTGTTCCCTATCGCTAATGGCACTTCCATTGATCAGAGCAACACACACACAAAGTTGCACTGATGTAAAAGGTAACCTTTACCCATACAAAGGCAACTCAGATTGGTGACTAGGGTACTGACAGGAATCAGGTAGTATCTACTCTAGGTCCTGAAAAACACAGTTATTCTTGTTCTTTTCTATTAAAGAACTATAGGTCCTGAAAAACACAGTTTTCTTGTTTTTTTTCCTATTAAAAGTAAGTCAGGTATTAATTAATGTGACATTTCTGAAACCCTAGGATGCTGTGTAGACATAATGAATACCTGAATTAAATGAAGAGTGCTGATATTTTAGGCTGAAGTATAAGTGTAGTCATTGGTTTTATAGTGACTACTTTCAATTTTTAGCTACTCTTTAAGGTGTTTGTAAAGTTGAAAGGAAGAAGCTATATTAGACCAGTGACTGGTTTTTAAATTGGTTAAGGAAATACAGTTTAGCTTTTGTTCAATGCCTGAATGTTCAGCAAAGATCCATTTTAAAGTTTCAATTGTTGGATATGTAAGAATAATAAATAGATCATTAAAATGAGAATAATATTATCCATGGCCATAAGGCCCCTGGATGTTAAAAGGCAGCAGATACTTGAGAGGTATGCTAGACATGTCTGTTCAGTGGTTTAGAGCCATGGCTATAGCTAGGAAACCCAGATACTCAGAACTACCAGCCTGAGAATGTATATTTCAAAGAGGTGGTTCTGAGTCACGGAACACTTTCATTACTAGTGAAACCTCATTTGTTTGACAATCAGTGGACATTCTATATCTAGCTGAAATGCACCAATTTTCAAGGAAGCCACAACATAAGAACAGAGAATACTTTGTGTTAGAGATTTTTATTGTATAAAGATTGAGTCTGCATGTTTGTTTTATTTTTATAATCTAGTAGTTGCCATATACAGTTGTAGAGACTATAATGAAAGCATAAATCTTAGATTCTAAGTGCAAATACCTGGCATAAACATTATTTTATTATTAAAGGCTTCTCTTATTGTCTGCCTTTCCTCCCCTAATTTAGTCTTCATGTGGAGAAGTGTTAACCTATATCTAATGTGCCTTTATTCAGAAAGGCATTTAGGAGTCAGGTCTGTTGTTGGCTAATCCAGAGCATATGGGTAAATGGCTACAGGAAAGAGAAATTAAAACATGCTGCTGTGTAATACCTGTCCTTTCCCATGATGTATAAAGGAAAGGCTCTCTGTGCTTTCCACCCTGTATGGCATTGTCCATCTGCTGCTGGGGCAGTAATCGTAAACATAACTGTGGGAGTCTGCAGCTTTGAGTGGCAGGCATCATTCCTTTTTAATCTTAGTCAGTGAAAACTGGTTATATGCTATCTGGCATATAAGAAACTCAATAAATGGTAGGTACTACTACTATTATTATTCTTGTTCTGATTATATTGGGACTATTATTTAGTGAAGCAAAGGTTTTCCATCCAAAGGGATCATATGTATATCAACATAATTCTAAGAGATTCCAACTGTTAAAATATTTCTGGAAAATAAGCCTACTACTGAGTAATTCTGCTCAGCCTATACAATTTCCTATTTGGAGTTTCACATCAGACCTCATTTCTCTCTACTCCCCTCTCTTCCGCCTTCAGATCCACTAAATCAAGTATGTGGTATAGAAGTGGTCATTTTTCCTCTTTTGGCTGTGTAACTATAAATACACAAAATAGGCAGGAAAAAAGAATGTGACAACTCAATAAGAAAGCCTGGATCTTATTTAAGGACCTGCTTGAGTTGTTAAGATTAATAAGAATCAAATGTCTTATTTTCTTTTCTTCTGCCTCAACAGCTTTTATGGAAGAGATTAAGGATAACATATTCCATTTTCTTGTCTTCACACTTGCCTGCATTGACGACAAATGGTTTTACGTATGTATTCTTATATGTCCACATTGTAGGTGCTGTGTATTTAAAATCAACAAATTCCAAAAATCTAAAGCATGATACAAATGGTCAGTGGCATAAAATTTCATAATAAATGGATTCAAAATTATAACTAGATATTCTTCCCTTCTTCAAAAGAGCTGTTTCTTTAAAAGAAAAAAGTTATACTTTTCTTTTTTCTCTTTAAAAGGCAATAGATTGTAAACAACCTGGTGTTCACACTTCTATTAAGGCTTGATATTACTCTGTGGAGTTGTTAAAATTCTATGAAAACAAAAATGAATTGCTTATATTTTATAAAGAGCAACCTTATTAACATTTTAATAAACTAATTTAAGCCATCTGGTCTTTAGAAAATAGATCTGGTTCTCCAAAGAAAATAAATAAGATATAAATAACTCTTGAGTCCATGGGATAATTTTTGTGCCTTTTTTTAAGGAAAAGGAGTCCTTTTTGATCATATACCCTGCATTCTAAAGTACTAAAATGCATTCACTCATTCATTCATTCACCCATCAAACCCTGCTGAGGACCTACTGTGGGTCAGCACTATTCTAGGTTCTAGAGTTAAAGAAAAGTCTTTGCTCTCATGGCACTTCCAGAGGGCAATAAGTAAATGGACGATCTGTGCAGAGATCAGCAGGAAAACAGGGAGGTAAAAGTAAGAAAGTCACACTTTCAGTTAAACCTTGAAGGGTTCCTCCCTCAGGATAAAGTTCAAGTACAGGGTGCAAGATCCCACAGGTCTCTGGCTCCTGCCTATCTTTGAAGCTTATCTCTATAAGCCCTGCTTCTCATCACTAGTGCCCTTGCCTTCACTTGGCTAACTCCTACTTGCTCCTTGGCTAGTGCTTCTGGAAACCTTATGTCAAACTGTCCCTCCCTCCTCACTTCCCATCCTAAGAGCTGAGTCTGTGTCTTAACACCACTGAATTCCTAATGCCTGGGTGGAAATGTGGCACAAAGGATAAATACCTGTTCAATGATTGAGTGACTGAGTGAAGGAATGAGGAAAGCTGTGTGTGTGTGACTAAACAATGACTGAATGTCTGTACGGCAGGCAGGGATAGAGAGCTGACTGAGCCAGAGGTGGCTGGGTGGAGGGAAAGAGAAGGCATTTAAAATGGTTGTGAAGGGGATTTTCCCAGGAGGACAAAGACTGCCCTTCTGATAGAGTCTAAGCGTCTAGACACATACCAACAGACACTGGGGAGAAATGGGTTTTGGCCTTAAGCATCTCTGAGTTGAAATAAAAAGTGAATACAAACACACACCTAGTTTGTCAGAGATGAGCTATATAAAGTTTACATTACAGTACCTGAGACAAAGCAGGCCCTCAATAAGGCAAAACTTATAATATAAAACATAATACAAAACAGTACCATCCAGTTTCTGCCCATGAGAAACCCAGGGTCTACTAAGAGAACAGACCTACATGAAGGCTGACACACAGTAAGTGGCTTCCTAAGGATCACATGGCTGGTAAGTCGCAGGGCTGAGATCTAAACAAAGGCTCATCTGGTTTCCCTGTCTGTGCTTAGATGAGATGAATGACTGGAGACAGACTTGAGAGCTATCAAGGGAACAGATGTGTCATGGTGGTGGCTATAATCTCAGGGAGAGTGGCTGCTGATGAAACCTGCAGGCATGCCTATGTTTTAGAGGGACAGAAGGGATCTAGTTATCAGAGGGTGGCCAGCAAAGGAACAGGACTGGAAGGAGGGGCAGGCAGGAGTGAGGAGTAAGACACCAACAGCTCAGAGGTTCTCTAGGAGTGGGACCAGTCTGAGCATTTAGATGAGACGCCTAACTGGACAATGGAACACATGTTAGCTGGAATCAGGAACCTATTACCTTAGAAGAGCTGTTTCAGTACAGCTGGGATACAGGTGGCATGGAAGTGGAGCTTGTGATTGCAAGTGACCCTGCAGAAATGAAAGGGAAAAGAAGCTGGTCAGAAGATGGACCTGGAAGCAAAGAAGCTGAAATATTTCTGGCTGTGGGAGAAGTGAATGTGCTCTAAGGAGAATTCAGTGGAGCTGGTGGAGAGGGAGAGTATGAGGGTCTAGGAGAGCAGATGACTGAGGAAGCAGGATTAGTAGGGTTCCACAGGAGGAAACAGGTTAAGAGTTCACCAAGAGCAAAGCAGAACAAGTAACTTTGGTAAAAATGATGGTGGTTTCTTTATGAGGTAAAAAGGAGGAAAATGAAGATTTTCTGCCCTGGTAAGTTTGATTAAGACAAAAATGTCTACTAATTCAATGAATGGTACTGGACCACTAGTTATCAGTTTTGAAAAAGTTAAGCTGAACCCCTACCTCCATTCTTATACCAAAATAAATTCTAAGTACATACAAAATTAAACCTAAAAGTGTTTATGAAAGCACTAGAAGAAAAAACAAGAACATTTTGGTAATCTTGGAGTGGGAATTTAGCTGGATGCAAAATTCAAAGGCAGTAAAGTAAAAGGTAATTATATAAAATTATAATATTCCATATGAAAAAAATATAGTAAACAAGGCCAAAAGATAAATGACAAATGGGAAAAAATATACTTGTGATAAATAACACAAGAAACAATGAGACTCTAAATAAATATGGAAAAGAAATCGGCGTGCCTTGGACACTTCTGGCCAAGATGGAGGCATAGGTAGACATGTTTTGCTTCCCTGCATAACCAAAAGAAGGATAACAACCAATTTAAAAACAAAAACCCAGAACAATCAGAAACTCGAACTGTATGGAAGTCCAACAACCAAGGAGTTAAAGAAACATTCATGCAGACTGGCAGGAAGAGCAGAGATGGGCAGTTGGGGTGGAGAGGACCAAGGTAGTAGCTGGCAGACTGACATGGGTGAGGCAGAGGCTGGCAGACCAGGATATTCCACATTTGTGTGTGGATAAGCCGGGAAGATCAACTAGGGAGCAAGACAGACTGGGGAACCCAGGGTTCCAGCGTGGGAAACTAAAGCCTCAAAACCTCTGGCTGAAAATCCCCTGTGGGGATTGCAGAAGCAGCAGAAACTCCCAGACTCACAGCTGAGGCCATTAGAGGGGCCCACAGGATCCTAAAATGTACACATGCCCACCCACCCAGGAATCACCACCCAAAAGGGCCCTGCTTGTGGGTAGCGGGGGAAGTGACTGAAAGTGGGGCGAGAGTCAAGCAACTGGCATTGTTCCCTCTCTGAGTTGTCCCCCAAATAAAGTGCCACAATGCAGCAAAGTGGAATGCCCTGCCCTGGCAAATACCTAAGGCTCCGCCCCTTACACAACATAAGCAGGTACACTGAGACAAAGATATATGGCTCAAATGAAAGAACAGATCAAAGCTCCAGAAAATAAGTAAATGACAAAGAGATAGCCAACCTGTTAGATACAGAGTTCAAAACACTAGTAATCAGGATGCTCACAGAAATAGTTGAGTGTGGTTGCAAAATAGAGAAAGAAGTGAAGGCTATGAAAAGTGAAATAAAGAAAAAATATACAGGGAACCAACAGTGAAGGGAAAGAAACTGGAGTCAAATAAATGGTTTAGAGCAGAAGGAAGAAATGAACATTTGATCAGAACAGAATGAAAACAAGAATTCAAAAAAATGAGGGGAGGCTTAGGAATCTATGGGACAACTTTAAACGTTCCAACATCTGAATCATAGGAGTGCCAGAGGGAGAAGAGGAAGAGCAAAAAATTGAAAAATTATTTGAACAAAACAATGAAGAACTTCCCCAATCTGGTAAAGGATATAGACATTCAAGTCTAGGAAGCTCAGAGAGTCCCAAAGAAGTTGGACCCAAGGAGAAACACACCAAGACAGATCATAATTAAGTTACCCAAGATTAAAGATAAGAACAAATCTTAAAAGCATCAAAAGGAGACAGTTACCTACAAAGGAGTCCCCATAAGACTATTAGCTGATTTCTCAAAAGAAACCTTATAGGCAAGAAGGGGCTGGAAAGAAGTATATCCAAAGTCATGAAAAGCAAGGACCTACATCCAAGATTGCTCTACCCAGCAAAGCTATCACTTAGAATGGAAGGGCAGATAAAGTGCTTCCAGACAAGGTCAAGTTAAAGGAGTTCATCATCACCAAGCCCTTATTATATGAAATGTTAAAGGGACTTATCTAAGAAAAAGAAGATGATCAAAACTATGAACAGTAAAATGACAACAAACTCACAACTATGAACCACTGAACCTAAAACAAAAACAAACAATAAAAAATTCAAAAAAGAAGAAACACAGAAGGCTAATATATGTAAATTATCTTTAACTCAACCCATAACTAAAGAAATACCACAATTTATGAACTGGATTGATAAGAGATGCAAACATTTAATATTCTCAGGGCTGAAGAGTGAGGGTGAAGATAGAGTTGCTGCGATAGTAAACTGCTGGCCATGTGGTAATGTTGCTCTACATATTCAATGCCCATGCCCTTGACTCAGCTCTTTTACCTCTAGGCTTTAGCTTACACAAAGACACAGGTGCAGGATGTCTCTACTGCACTGCTCATAAAGACAAGAAGCTGAGATCAATGTAAATGTCACTGCAGACCCCAAATCTAGGCATTTTCAGTAGAGTACTACTGTGTTCAATAATTTTTTAAATAAGGAAAGTTGATCTGACACAAAGAATGCATTACCTGGGCTAGAAAAGTAGACTGATATTGGTATCTTCACCTAGTAGGTAGAAGCAAAGAGAATTTACATAATTTTTCTTAGGTCCTTCAGAGACATAATGGCAGAACCAGAACTGAGTTCAGTCTTCTGCTTTCTAATCTACTTCAAATTTCACACAGAGGGATTGCACTCTTCCTCAATTTAGTTTTTCATAGGATTTTCCTGGAATCACTTTGGAATAATAAAGTATTACACTAAGAACCCAGAGCAGATAGTACAGGAATCACAGTAAATTCCTTAAGAGACTCAAAGTAATTATTTCCTTGAGTTCCTCTTCTTTTTAATAGTTTGGTTCAAACTGAGAATGCTCAGCATTTTTAAATAGTTATGACTTCTAAATGCTCTCCTTCTATATAGATGTATTTTAGCATGGTGTAACTCTGCTTAGGAAAAATCCACTTAAAGAAAATTCATTTGGTATTCTTTAGTAGCACCATTTCTGAACTATATCAACAAGCAGTGAATTCTGAATGTGATGGCTCTAATGAGCTTTGACATTGAAAATTTAATAGTGTTATTTATTTAATTAAAATCACCTCCCCTGAAATATAGATATGTAAATATACACACATATACACATGCACGGTATGATACATGACCATGTCTCATGTGATTAAAAACATCTAATTCCAGAAAACATTATTTTAGGTGAGTCATCTTCCTCTGACATGTTTGGAAGCTTTTTCTTGGGCCAGACTTTCCTGTGACATAATGCAGTTAGAATTCTCTGTGCCATGTCTCAGTTGTCCGAAAATGAAGACTTGGAGGAAATGATGCAGACAGTGTAAATTAAAGTTCCTGTGTTTTAAAGGCAAGATGGAAGGTCAGCTGTTAAGTGAGCTCAAAAGCCCAATCTTTTCCTCAGTAAAGAATGCTGAGAATTCACTGCCATTATGTTCCATCCCAGGAAAAATAAAGATTAAAAAATGTCTGGGTTGCAATTCCCACTGTGGGGATGTTTTTCAGTTGGAGTTCCAAGAGTCAAAATCTAAAATCTTAAGTGAGAAAGGTATATCAGTGCTGTGGATTGATCAATCTAACTCTGGTTAGGGAAAACTCAAACCCTAAGTGCCATTCTACAATAAAAACTGCCATAACTGACCTTTACTAGCATTTTAGTTATGAAGCATAAGCATGTGAGTTATCACTTATGAGGTGAAGCAGTCACTGTGTATGGAGGATTACAAGAGAAGCTGTAGGAACTGATTATGCATATAAAAGATTCCAACTCTACTGAGAAATGAAAATCTGAGATGCTATCATAAATATTTCTTATCAACAAATACTGGGAAAGCATCTCATAGTTTCACAGCTACAGGCAGATCTTGCACTTCACTTCACTGTGCTTCACAGCTATTGCGTTTTCATCAACATCAAGACAAGACCCACCACCAGAAAAAAGGTTAAGACTCACTTAAAGCTCAGATTAGTATTTTTTATCAATAAAGTATTTTTAAATTAAGGTGTGCACATTTTTATACATTATGCTATTGCATACTTTATAGACTACAGTATGGTGTAAAGATAAATTTACATGTACTGTGAAATAAAAAAGTTCATGTGATTTGCTTTATTGCAGTGGTCTGACATTGAACCAGGATTATCTCTGAGGTCTGTACCTACTTATTAGAATTAAAGTTAGTGTCTGAATCTGTAGAATGGTGAGTGGCTGAGGTGGGATTTGCTGGGAGAAGTGTGGCTCCTGGGTCCATACTCTTACCTACCCTACAACACTGCTTCTCACCAGGTCAGAGGACTGACTCCACTTCCACTGTCTGGATGCATAGAATGCAATGTCTAACCCTCCTGCATGTGATGGTCTTCCTGCTATAGGCGGACAGATCTTCTGGGTCTTTCACATTTACCTCTTTTTAAAAAAAGCAAAAATGTTCTAAAGCCTTCAACTACTTAACAGATGATGTGGATTCAGTCCTTTGACACTTGGGTCTCACTCTTGTTTGGGTTTGGTCAAGTTTGTCCCTGAAAGGCAAAGAGTCTAGCCATGGACTCCAACAGTCCTGAGTTTGAGTCCCAGGCTTGCAAAGTCTGACTGTTTGACTCTGGGCAAGTAACTTAGCTCACAAAACCTCAGTTTCCTTTTCTGAAAAATGAGTTGAGAACAGTTCCTTCTTTATAGGAGTCCTTACTGTCTTTCCATCCAAATTTCTTCTCAGGAAGAACCTTGGCACAGCACATCACTCTCAGGGGAGAAGCGCTAGCATTTGTTTGTATGGTGACACTGAAG